TTATGGCGGACTTAGAACAATTCTTCCTCAGCTCTCATCCCCTAGCGCCCCTACTCTACTTGGACCCATGGGAAGGAGGCCCTGGAGGAATTCCACCAGGATTTCAACAATTTCCCTCCCACCATCAACCTCAGCCTGGACCAGTCCACACAAGAGATCCACTTCCTGGACACTACAGTCCAAATAAGTGATGGTCACATAAACACCACCCTATACAGGAAACCTACTGACTGCTATACTTACCTACATGCCTCCAACTTTCATCCTGACCACATCACACAATCAGTTGTCTACAGCCAAGCCCTAAGATACAACCGCATTTGCTCCAATCCCTCAGACAGTGACAAACACCTACAGGATCTCTATCAAGTGTTCTTAAAACTACAGTACCCACCTGGGGAAGTGAAGAAAGATTGACAAAGGCAGAAGGGTACCCAGAAGTCACCTACTACGGGACAGGCCCAACAAAGAAAGTAACAGAACGCCACTAGCCATCACCTACAGCCCCCAACTAAAACCTCTCCAGCGCATCATCAAGGATCTACAACCTATCCTGAAGGACGATCCCTCACTCTCACAGACCTTGGGAGACAGGCCAGTCCTCACTTACAGACAGCCCCCCAACCTGAAGCAAATAGTCACTAGCAACTACACACCACACAACAGAAACACTAACCCAGGAACCAATCCCTGCAACAAACCCTGTTGCCAACTCTGTCCGCATATCTATTCGAGGGACACTGTCATAGGAGCTAACCACATCAGCCACACCCTCAGGGGCGCATTCACCTGCAAATCTACCAATGTGATATATGCCATCATGTGCCAGCAATGCCCCTCTGCCATGTACATTGGCCAAACCGGACAGTCTCTACGCAAAAGAATAAGTGGACTCAAATCAGACATCAAGAATTGTAACATTAAAAAACCAGTAGGAGAGCATTTCAATCTCTCTGGACACTCAATAACAGACTTAAAAGTGGCCGTTCTTCAACAAAAAAAATTTCAAAAACAGACTTCAATGAGAAATTGCAGAACTGGAATTAATTTGCAAACATGACACCATCAAATTAGTCCTGAATAAAGACTGGGAGTGGCTGGGTAACTACAAAAAGTAATTTTCCCTCTGTTGATACTCACACCTTCTTGTCAACTGTTGGGAATGGGCCACATCCACCCTGATTGAATTGGCCTCGTTAACACTGACCCCCCACTTGGTAAGGCAACTCCCACCTTTTCACGTGCTGTATATTTATACCTGCCTACTGTATTTTTCACTCTGTGCATCTGATGAAGTGGGCTCTAGCCCGCGAAAGCTTACGCCAAATAAATTTGTTAGTATCTAAGGTGCCACAAGGACTCCTTGTTTTTTTTTAAACTAGTGTGTAAACATTGTGGCTTATGACAGAGCTTGGGCGCTCAAGACTGGGGGTGGGCTTGCGAGCCCGAGCTCCAGAGCGTGAGCTATTTTTAGCATGCTAGTGCGAGCTGTGCTAGTGTGAGTCTGTGGCCCTGGGATGGGAGGCTTGCCCCCAGATGCGGTATAGGGGCAGCCCATCCTGTTACAATGTGCTATTCAGCGCCTAAATGATGGTGTGTTGTGGTAGAATGGCTACCTCAGCATGCTTGGGGTAATTGCATCAGCACCCGTAGGACTAAAAATATTTTATGGAAAATCTATTTTAGAAATGTTTTTGAAAATTGTATTGGTTCTATTTTGTATCTCTTTGCCAGTAAAGCCAAGGTATTTGGAACATGAATCCAATTGTTCACACGTCAGAGGGAGAGGAAAATGATAATTAATACATTTCAGACAGCTCTGGAAATAACTTAAAATTGTTTTTCTAAATCTACTAATAATGTGATTTTTAAGTCTGATATCTTAAGACCTTTAAGGTTTGGGGATCAAGTGCTGTGTGTTGCACTGGAAATCTCCTAATTTTCCTTTTCCATGGTATAAAGCTCCTGTTTCAAACCTTGAAGGGGTAACCAGGGCCGGCTCCAGGCACCAGCTTAACAAGCAGGTGCTTGGGGCGGCCACGGGAGGGGGCGGCACCTGCAGCAATTCGGGGGCGGCAGATCCCTCACTCCCTCTAGGAGCGAAGGACCTGCTGCTGAACTGCCGCCGCCGATCGCGGCTTTTTTTTTTTCCAATTGCCGCCGCCGATCACGATCGCAGCTTTTTTTTTGCTTGGGACGGCAGAAATGTTGGAGCCGGCCGGGGTAACATAATGCCAGAACTCAAATTTGCTACAGGACTGAATTATGTGCATTGTTCATCTCCTCGTGGGGGCAGTGGGGGTGCAGGAAGGGTGGGATTCCACATGTGGGGGGGAAATAAGGAAACATTTATCTGGCAGATTGTTTTACTGCTGTTTGAAGCTGCTGCACAGGGCTCTGGAATGTTAGGTGTAGTACCAATGAAGGTGGATTAGTGGGCAGAGTGAAGGTGAGGTGGTCAACAGTGTATGATAAATGTAATTTACCACATGGATATCACCACTGTGTGTGAGTGTGTGTGTGTGTGTATTTCCATAATACACAGTACTATGAATACTAATATCGTACAGGATATCTAGCCCATGGAAATCATGGATATTTTTCCTTTAAAAGCTACATTTATTTCTCAAGAAGAGATGATGATTTAAGAAGCACAATTGCAACTGATTTCCTCTACCGCAATCATATTGCTGGCTGGTTCAAAAGAATTAGCCTAATAGTTTTTTGTTTCATTTCAAGAAGAAATTACAAATAAAGAGGGACATGGCTGATTTTCAAACTACTGTAATTTTATCCCTTAAATTACAAAATATTCAAAATGTTAACAAAAGGTATATTTTGTATCTTCAGTGATTCAGCTTTGGGTTGCAAACTTGACAGCTGTTATAAACTAAGCAGGGTTAGGCCTCGCTAATGCTTGACTGGGAGACCACCTGGGACAACCCAAGATGCTGAAGGAAAGGCTGGTGATTGTGCGTGTTTAAATCTGAGGCCTGGTCCCCACTAAGCCCCCACTTCGGACTAAGGTACGCAAATTCAGCTACGTTAATAACGTAGCTGAATTCGAAGTACCTTAGTCCGAACTTACCGCGGGTCCAGACGCGGCAGGAAGGCTCCCCCGTCGATGCCGCGTACTCCTCTCGGCGAGCTGGAGTACCGGCGTCGACGGCGAGCACTTCCAGGATCGATCCGGGATCAATTTATCGCGTCTTAACCAGACGCGATAAATCGATCCCAGAACATCGATTGCCTGCCGCCGGACCCTCCGGTAAGTGAAGACGTACCCTCAGTCAGTACTGGACCAGTGCCCTAGCACAGCTTTGGAGGTGTTCACGTGCAAACCTTGCATCACGTGCATTCATTTATTTCTGGATCAGATGCGTACAAACCACTATCAAATCAGAATTCTCATCTCATAATGATAATAGTGTTCACACTTGCTCTGCAGCACCTGTGCTGAGTGTAAAACACTACCTGTCTGATTTCAGAGCATTTTACATTCACTCTGCAAAGGTGTAAAATGACCACAAAAGGTTCCAGCTGCTAAAGAATCAGGCCCAAAGTGAAAGACAGTTGAGAACCAGTCCTACTGTCTTTTGAATGAGACTTCATAACTTGTGGCCATTAAAGATCCTAGGAAACTTTTTGTGAGTGTCGGAACTGTTAGCGCTGGAGTCTTCTGTCTTATGAATGTAGTTTGGGTAACTATCTTCTGCCTTTTTAAATTCCCAATGCAGTGACAATTGAATATGATTTTTTTCTTCACGTCGTGTCCTAAGATTTTGTTTAACGTTGTTGTGCATGATTAATCAGCTGCTGTGTGTGACTCAGAGGTGATGGCACTTCAGTAGTGGGTGAAGGGATTCCTGCTTAAGTAAAATTTGTAAAGCACTTTGGGATCTTGATGAATGAAAGGTGCTATACATGTAAGATGAAATTATTCAGACAGGATGAACTGAGTTTTATGGAACAGATCTGTCTGCACTGGAATCCAAGGGCCAAAACTATGAGTCAATAGAGGCAATTCTAGCATTCCATCAGTGGCAAGAATCAAGCCTAGGCGATATAAAATGCCTCCAGAGAGACTGTGGAGAGTGTGGTAAGAAGCAAGTCTTGATACACTTTTGGAAAAGTGTGGCTCATGCTCCTCTGCTGGTGCTCTCTTAGGTGCATGGAACAGGGGAAGGGATTCCAGGGCCACACCTCTCCACCTACAGACATGCACCTTTTGAGACAGTAAGTGCTGCCAGCAGTGTTAGGTGTCCCTATTCCCTGCACTCCTGAGCATAGTCCATCAAATTATAGCTTCTTTCGAGTGGCTGCTTAAGGGCTGGAGAATTTTACAGTTGATCCTAACCTTAGCTCTGACTTGATCGAATAAACCACACCAGCAGGGAGAGAGCAGCCTCTCTAATAACTCACTACCCGGCCACTTAGTAGACAATTGTACCTCTTGTCCCACTTCCTATTTAAAATCAAACTCTGTGGAATGACTTGTGATCTTTTTCTAACATGCACTTCTTAGTGCCATGGACTGAGTTATAAACAATAAGGACCCACTTGTGCTCCAAGACACATATGCAACGGCCACTGACTTTATTAGGAGTTGTGTGTTCATGGCTGAAAGCAGAACTGTTGCCAAAAACTTTAAGCAAAGTTCAGCCTTGGGCCCACAAATGAATGGCTAAACAGATCAGATTAAGCTATGGGGTACTTCAAAGGTTGAAGTGCAAACAGAGGTTAATTTACAAACACCTAATTTTGCACTATTTCTATGTGGTACAAGGGGAGGTTATTGGTTGCATGGTCTTTAATAAAAAGAACATCCAAAATGCATGTCCACATTCTGTTATCTTGGTGCTGTTGAATGCCTGCATGTCTGAGCACAGGTGTCAAATCTAGGCAGAGGGAATACTCTGCTTTGATCATCTAAGGTAACTGTGTAAGAGCAAAAACAGAAGGAGCACTTCACATGCATTAAGCAACAGAAAAACAGCATCTACCAGGACCAATAATAAGTTAGTTTCATTATACACCACAGGACAATTGCCTCCATGCATGCTGGTGCTTCTAAAGCGGATACTTCTGCTGTCATCACATCCATCCACTAAGTATAGATTTACACATGTACATCATTAAGGGGAACAAATCAAAAGGACCCCCTGAAATCACAACCAATGCACTGCCAAAGTAAACACGTTCATCTGTAATACTAATATCATGCCCCACCTCATTCTGAAGTTGTCACATACCAAAAATATGAAAATAGTCAATTTCCCTGTGGACTTCATCAGGGGGGCTTTAAAGCACTCTTTGTTCTACCTAGATGCTATTAAATTATATTGTACAAATAGAGAGAGAAAGTAAAGTTGCCCCATGTAAACTTTGCTTTCCCTTTTTTTCCCAGAAGGGAAGAATGATCTTGTGGTTGAGGCACTGGGCTGATAGTCAAAAGATTTAGGTTCAGTTCCTGACTGACCTTGGCTACATCACTGAATCTCTCTGTGCCTCAGTTCCCCATAAAATCATAGAATATCAGGGTTGGAAGGGACCTCAGGATATCATCTAGTCCAACCCCCTGCTCAAAGCAGGACCAATCCCCAGATTCCTAAATGCCACCTTCAAGGATTAAACTCACAACCCTGGGTTTAGCAGGCCAATGCTCAAACCACTGAGCTATCCCTCCCCCAATCTGTAATATAGGGACAATGATACATCCTCAAAAGGCTAATGGATATGGAGGTGCTCAGATACCATGGTGATAGACCACATACTACCTATACAAATTGAGAGGAAAATGTATTACGCTGAAACAGAATTCCTAAGGGTCTAAGAATAAGGTTTGAGAGGGGGTTGCTGTCTGCAGTTCTCAGCTGCAGATTTCAACGCTTCAAATGAAACCCCTAACAAAATGGATGTAAAAGTTAGCGGGAGAGCAGCTTGCCATCTATAGCAGCAATTTTACATTACTATGATGTATTATATTAAAAGAGCCAGATGGCACTGGCTTGCACAATTTCCTCAGTATAGTTGGCTGTTATTATATATATATATATCTATCTATATACACACACACTGGTAAATTATTGCCTTTTGTTTTTCATTGGACACCCTTTACCTAACAGCTGTGGTTTAGTTTCTATGGCTTTTAATCCTCTTCTGCAGCATATCTTCGCTTAGAAAAACAATATATACAGAAGCTACAAAAGATAAGCAAAAACAGCACAGTATGACTAATGATAAGAACTCCAACAGCAAAAATGTACAGGGTTTTATCACAATAATCCTGGGGCTGGTGGAAAGGTGGAATGAAATTTGGCAGATAGACAGAAAACACCCAATAGTTCCCAAGTATGAACCAGATAAAGAGGAAGAGGCTGAGCGTAAGATGGATGTAGTATTTGTGAGCATTCTGCCGCCATGGATATTCATCGTCGTCGTCATCATCAATCACGACAGATTTGGAAAGCAGTTGCCGCATCCTGGTGGAGTCATAAAGCAGAAGAGTCACCTGTATGTTGTAGAGACAAAGAAAGTGAATAAACAGAGCCACTGGCTTTAAGGGGTCAACTCTGTGAGGTGCTGAGCCCTCACCTCTTATAGACTTCAGCAAAAGCAGAGAGCACTCAGCAACTCTGAAGATCTGCTCAGAATGGTCAGGACTGGCCCCTATACAAGCCTTCAGCAAAATTAAAACAATAATGTGGCACATAGGTGCCAGCTTCGTCCGGACCCAGGGGTACTCAACCCCACACTCTGCCCCAGTCCCTGCCCCCATCTGCCCTCTTCCCCCAAACCCCCACCCCATCCCACCTCTTTCCCCCCCACTCCACTCCACCCCAGGCCCCGCCCCCACCCCTTCTCCGCCCCCACCCCCACCCCTGCCCCGTCTAATTCCACCTCCTTCCCTGAGCTCCCTGCTCCTCCCAGAGCCTCCTGCATGCCGCAAAACAGCTGATCACAGCGGGTGGGAGACACTGGGTGGGAGGGGGAGGAGTTTATCAGCAGGGCCACTGGCGGACAGGAGGTGCTGGGGTGGGAGGAGGGAGCTGGCTGCCAGTGGGTGCTGAGCACCCACTAATTTTTTTCCCTGGGTGCTCCAGCCTACTACACAGACACTGCACCGCTCTAACTATACCAACGTAAGCCTTATGCCTCTCATTGAGGTGGGCTTATTATGTCGGTGTAGTAGAGCACCTACATTGGCAGGAGGAAGGCTGTAGTGTAGACACTGACATAGGTCAACATGAGCTGCCTTATGTCGACCTAACTGTGTAGTGTAGACAAGCCCCAAGTATAGAACTCACGACCAATTTGGGGTTTGTGCCCTGGTTCTTAACAGTCTACCCTTGAGCCACTGCAGGACAGCTTGGCAAGGTCCATCTATGGCTATTAGCCAAGATGGTCAGAGATGCGACCCTATGCCCTGGCTGTCTCTAAACTCTGACTGCCAGAAGCTGGGACTAGATGACAAGGGATGGATCACTCAGTATTGCCCTGTTCATTTGATCTGAAGCATCTGTCACTGGCCACTGTTGGAAGACAGGATACTGGGCTACAAGGACCATTGGTCTGACCCAGTATGGACATTCTTATGTTCTTACATATGAGTATAACCGAGGGTGGAATTGAACCAACTGGATTTAAGCTGATAAACAAGGTGCTATTGAGGGGCTATGTTAAAACATGAACTATTCTAATCAAATTATTAAAATCAAGTTGGTCACCACATTACAAAATATAGGCCCAATCCTGCTTCCATTGAAGCCAAAGGCAGAGCCCTGATTGACTTCAGTAGGAGCAGCATTGGACCCACGTTTAGTGTCATTTTTAATGAGAATTGACGACAGACTAATCACTAATGGCTAGCACAATTTTATTACTCATTAAAATCTTTATTAATCTCTGGTCAACAATATTAGGAGAGTTTCAAGCAATCATATTAAAATTGTGGATGTCAGCATTGTTGATGAGGGTCCCAGTTCATTACAATGAAAAACTCCCCATTCTGATTTAATTTTCCTAAAGGAAAACTTAGCTGTTATTAATCTAATCCTCTGATTATGCTATCCCTGCAGGAAAGTCCAGCTGAGCAATCAAATGACTGAGCATTTAACCGGTGGAATTCATGCACAGCAAATGATTTCTAACAAGCTTAAGTACTTTCTTTTCCCCATTCACTTATTTTGCTGAAGATACTGACCACAGCCCCTTGATGGGGACTATTCATTTCTCATTAGTGGGACCATATACTGAATCTATGCTGGGCAAGTGTAGGGTGTGTAGAGACCTCTTAACAAGAGCATTCTCTGCCTTTTCTCTCTTCATTGATCCTGGCACAAAAAAGAGGCAAGAGACATGCATAAGGGGAGTGTAGCAGCGTGCAATGCTACTGTTCTCAGGTAAGAGACTGGCAGCCTTGACTTCAGGAGACAGGCTTCCCTTGCCTGGAACATTAGTTTCTCACAGCAGGGGACTCCTACCTCAATCAGATTCTCCCTGGAAAAGTGAGGGAGACTAAATGGAATAGCTAATTGGGAATATCGTACCATATATACCATAGTCTCTGTCTACATGACAACCCTACCTGTGCCAGCAAGCAACTTAGGGGCATCTGCCATGGGTTTTTGTTTGCAGTGTAGAGGGCACTACATGGTTATAGATCAGGAATGGGAAAACTTTTTGGCCCAAGGGCCACATCTGGGAATAGAAATTGTATGGCAGGCCATGAATGCTCATAAAATTGGGGTTGGGGTACGGGAGAGGGTGAGGGCTCTGGTTGGGGGTGTGGGCTCAGGGGTGGGGCCAGAAATGAGGAGTTCAGGATGCGGGAGGGGGCTCTGGGCTGGGGCGGGGGAGTGGTTGCAGGTGGGGGGGGTGAGGGCTCCAGCTGGGGGTGGGGGCTCTGGGGTGGGGCTGGGGATGAGGGGCTTGGGGTGCAGGAGGGTGCTCCAGGCTGGGATCAAGGGGTTTGGAGGGCAGGAGGAGGATCAGGACTGGGGCAGGGGGTTGGGGCATGGGGAGAGGCTGAGAGGTGCAGGCTCCGGGTGGCACTTACCTGAACCGGCTCCTGGAAGCAGCGACATGTCCCTTCTCCGGCTCCTACACAGGTGGCTCTGCACGCTGCCTTGTCCGCAGCCACAGCCCCTGCAGCTCCCATTGGAGCGCCGGAGGGGGCCATTGAAGTGCGTAGGAGCTGGAGGGGAGCCATGCCACTGCTTCCAGGAGCTGCATGGAACTACCCCTGACCCTGCTCCCTGGCTGGAGCGCCAGAGCACCGGAGCGCAGCAAGCCCCAGACCCCACTCCCCAGCGGGAGCTCGAGGGTTGACTTAAAATGGCTGGTGGGCCAGATCCAGCCCACAGGCCGTAGTTTGCCACCCCTGTTATAGATTGTGTTACAGCATTACAGTCTCCATCATTACCTGGGATGTCACCCAGCTACAGGGATAACCCTGTCAGTCAAGCACACACTGGCACAATGAGATTTGTAGAGTAGCTCAGAACAGAGAAAGAGCTTCACTATTTTTTTGTTCAGTTTGTGTCTCCTCAAGAGAAGGAGCAGGGTCTGAGGAATTGGGGGGATTGTTAGAAGAGACAGAGCCTGATTCATATTGCCCTGTACCTGGTGTAGTCATTTCCACCAGTGCAAAGGGAGTGCATGGAGCATGTGAAATGCAACCGTTCTGATTTGGTGTATTTTATGCCCACTTTGCATTGGTGGGAATAACTACATACTGGTCAGGGCAAGGTGAATAAGGCTCATTGACAGCTGAATTCCTCTCCTGTCAGCCTCCAAAGCAGGGGCAGATACATTTCAGAACAGATGCTAACTCTGATTGTTACGTCCTGTTGACTAAATAAAGCTACCTGTTTTAATCTAGCGGTTTTAAGTGTTTCAGTTAATTCCTGGAGAGGCTTCAGGGCAAGAATCTTCACTCTATGTCTAGGGAGATCAGACCACTAGTACAGGATTTCCAACCTTACAAAGTTTTACCATCATTTACATGCAGCATGTGATGTTACATTAATCACTTACATCTGTGCCAGCCACTGAGATTGCTGCCTGGTTCTCCTGTCCTCATTGATAAAAGAAATAAAATTCAGCGAACCAGAAGCCATTGTCCTTTTATGGCTCAGATGCTCTCTGATTGGCTGAGATACACAATTACTATGTTCTCCTGAATGCACCAGCAGGTCCGTCATGGTACTGTATAGTGAGAAGTTGTTACTTTCCTGTACTAACATCCATTTATTCATTCTAGATCTATCATTTGATAAAATGGAAATCAAATCATTGTAGCAGAACATTTCCACAGGATCAATGCCTCTTGCTTTGGAGATAAATGTGCCTATTTTGTGGTGCAGCAAGGAATTATTATCCTGTGATATCATTCAGTTGCCTAGCTCTCAATCAAGCATAAGAATTTAATGTAAATTCTTAAGTATCCTGTCTGAACACAGCTCACTTGAAACATACTTTATAATGTCAAAGTCTTGGCACATAAAACATTTTTCACATACAATGCACAGTACCTTTACACTGCCGACAACACCACCCACCAACAGATATAAGGGAATTAGTGGTTGAAGTGGGCAGTCTTCCAAAAACTTCATTCCTGAGTACCAAAAATATAATATCGTTTATTACCTTAAGTGGCCAAAATACCAGTAGATGCTTTACAGAAAAAAATAAAGCTGCAGTAAGTGCAGTGTAGTACTTACAAATAAGCTTCGGATCCAATTAACATTAAGGTCAGTGGGCCTGAATTAAAGGGGCCTTGCATCAGACACAACACAAATGAGGATAATGAACAAACAAAAAGGCAGGGAAGGGACGAAATAGAACGAAGGTCACAATATCAAGATTATGGGGTTACTCATTTGAGCCAGGTGCATGTTTTTATGGCTCTGTTCATCTTTTGTTACGTGTATTATTAAATATAGAGCTGGTCAGAAAAATTCCAACTATTTCAACAAACTGCGGATGGACCCTAAGCTGTTTCCTGCCAGGTCGTCTGTCCAGCTCCTCAGCAGCCTGTGAACCAAGAGCCTCGGACCTGGGGAGCAATCCCAGGGCTTCCTGGCTCCACTGCGGTTTGGACAAAGCGCGGGAAATGTGCTGCCAGGAATGATCCTGCATGGTCAGGGAGATGGACTCTGATCTAAAGGGTCACTCCATCTCTAGCTTTGCTTTTGGGAATTTTTAATGACAAAATTTCATTCCTACTTGTTAAAATTTGAAAGTAGATAAATAACCAAGGGGTTGAAAAGATCTCAAATGTTTATAGTTAGGAATTATTGGCTGTTCTTCATGAATATTGATTGGCACTATTATTTGCATAGTTACAGATCTGTTAATATTAGATAAATATCTAGAAATTCTCTCTTTGACTAGGGCCAAAATGATTGGATGCACATCAATAATTGGATCTATCGAAATCAAGTCATTGTGAGAGATCATTGTAACAGAATGTTATCAGAGAACTCGAGTCCCTTGCTTAGATAATAAATGTCTGCATTTCGCCTTGACATTTAATTTTCCTTAAAATGCCTTCGCAGATATGTAGCTGTCGGAAACCATTATCCTGTGACAACGCTGTATTACACTGACAGTCTCTCTTAATTTCAGCAAGTCATGAAAAAAGGACTCTGCGTCTGATGTTGGAAGTTACCCACCGCTCTGGGCTAATCTCCTAGAATAAATGCCACATTTTCACCTCGAAGTTTCATACATTAAAGTCTATTACTAGAAGGAGGTATTAACAACAAAAGGTCAGATTCTAGCCCAGGGTCGGTGCAAGGAAGTTTCGCACCCTAGGTGAAACTTCCATCTTGCGCCCCCCCCAGCCCTGCGGCAGCTAACCACCCTCCCTCCGCCCTGAGGCACCCCCCCCCGCAGCAGCTCCCCTCCCCCCCCGGGGAGCTGTGCGGCAGCTCCCCACCCCAGCTCACCTCTGCTCCACCTCCTCCCCGAGCACGCCGCCCCCGCTCTAATTCTCCTCCCCTCCCAGGCTTGCGGCGCCAAACAGCTGATTGGCGCCGCAAGCCTGGGAGGCGGGAGAAGTGGAGCAGC